TTATCATTACTTGTTTGCCATTTGTTTCATAAACTGAAAATAAATTAGGCAAATCAGCTATTATTGTAGAAATATTTTAAAGCATTAAAATACAACAGAATGCCAATTATCCAAGACTCCTCACTATTCGAGGCAATCCTGTAAATGAACACATTATTTTTCTTATAATTCATAAAACTTTTTTTTTTAAAGAAAGCCTTTCCACCCTGTAACCATTTCCCCCCATACTCATCTTGGGTTCAGCAAGGCCCAAGGCCCACATTGCCTAACAGGGTAAGAAACAGGGCCAGACATATCTGGGACTAATCATCCATAGAAAATCCAGCAACGAGTTGCTCAACTTTCCCAGCGACATTTAAAATGTTGGTGGTACCATCTGGTATTATCATATTTTATTAAAAAACTTATATTTTTTAACTATTATAAAATGGCAAAGAGCTTAATTTTGAGGGTAGGGATGGGTTTTATAAAAAATTGTAAATGCTAATAACGAGTAAAGTCATCATAAGTCCAACCGTACAAGATATACACATGATCCCCATTATCTCCCCATCCCTCAACCTTTAACCACTAAAATTTAATAGCATCAACCCTCCCTAATAAACAAACCTCCATGCACACATTTCAGAAATTTTCGACAAAGAGCACAGAAGTTATTAAGCTTCAAACAGGGTGAGTAAAATTGGGCCTCACATACACTAACATTCATACATACAGATGTTATTGAATTTTTTGCATTTCAATGTTTCAGGATGTCCTAAGTCTAAAACTGTAAAAATCTGGAGGGGTCATTTTTTACCACTTTCCCTCTGTTATAACAGCCAGGAAAATAAAAATGATACTGAGATGACATCAAAATATTGCAGCAGAGAAGGAATGAACCAATGTAAAACAAAAATCTCTAAATGATTTTTTAAAAAAGCTTAAAACTATAACATGTAGTACAAAATGTTTTGTTTTTGTTGTCTTTTATATACACATTTGACTTCAATGAGAGATAAACTATTCATATTAATACACATTTAGTTCTTAAAACTATTATACATATTAGCTGCATAATATATAATTAAAAATATGTTCTTATATAGGATTAAATTATTTAAAGTATATATATAAAGAGGCACAGAAGTAACACCATATAAATCATTTATATTTGTAATTTTTAACCCAAACAATCATGGCAGTCCATTTTGCCAGAGTTTTCAGTTATCCAAAGTACCTCAGATATTCATGATTCTACCGCAACTATAGATCTACAAATCAGAAACAAGCTTTATCTGTATAAACCAGGGGTCGCCAAACTTTTTTAACCGTTGACCCCAACCACTTTCCAAAGCCTCACATTGACCCCTACCATAAAGTTTTATTACAAGTGTATGTGTATGAGCAAAAAAAAAATAATAATAATAAAAAAACGTTGTGGTCTCTGTATAAGCAAAAAAAAAAAAAGTTGTGACCCCTTAGCCGCATCAACCCCCCCAATGATGTTGCATCGACCCCTGAGGTCAATATCGACCACTTTGGCGATCCCTGGTATAAACTAATATCACTAACTAAATATATCAATTATATACACAGATCTTATTTTGACTGCCAATTTTTTATATTGTTGGGATCAAAAAATTTATAAGTATCAATATATATATATATAAAAAAATAGTTTTAAGTTTACATAGATTACAAATCAACACATTAAAATGTCTACAAATTATCATAAAAATAAATTCATTAAAAATGTCTTATTTTCTGTTTAAAGTTATAAATATTAACACTAACAAAAACAAAAATTTAATAAATACGAGGGCTGTTCAGAAAGTTTGCGGCCTCAAATAAAACAACAAACAAAATAATGTTAAAACTTTTTTTATTTTTCAATGTAGTCTCCTTTGTTAGCAATGCACTTATTCCAGCGATGTTCTAGCTTTTTTATGCCATCACAATAGGTCGATTTGTTAAGGTGTGCAAAATACTCGCTCACTTCAGAGATGACTTCGTCATTTGAATGGAATCTCTTTCCAGCCAAGATTTTTTTTAGGTTTGGAAAAAGGTGGAAGTCACTGGGGGCCAAATCAGGTGAGTACGGTGGATGTGGAACTAATCGGAAGCAAAGTTCGTTCATCTTTTGTTCAGTGATTCTGCCGGAATGTGCAGGTGCATTATCGTGGTGGAACAGAACCTTTTTCTTCTTCAAATGTGACCTCTTTTCTTCGATTTCTTTCTTCAGTTTTTCCAAACGTTTACAGTAATAGACAGCATTAATGGTCTTTCCTCTTTCTAGGTAGTCAATAAAGATGATGCCTTTAGCATCCCAAAAACCCGAGGCCATCACTTTCCCCTTTGATGGAACTGTCTTTGCCTTCTTTGGTGGTGGCGAACTGTGATGTTTCCATTGCTTTGACTGCTCTTTTGTTTCAGGAGTGCCGTAATGGATCCATGTTTTGTCAGTAGTCACAAACTGATGCAAGAAATCCTGTGGGTTTTTCTGGTAGAAGTCCAAACACTCCTTTGACATCAAAGTGCAAACACGTTTTTGCTCAGCAGTCAACAGATGCAGCACCCACCTTGCTGAGACCTTCGTCATACTAGGATGTGGTGAACTCGGTTTACAGAGATGCCAATTGTCTCAGCTATCTCACACGTTTTCAAACGGTGATCTGCTAATACCAAATCGTGAACTTTGTTGATATTTTCTTCAGTAACAGCAGTTGACGGCCATCCACTGCGAGGGTCATCTTCCACACTCTCTCTGCCAGATTTAAAAAGGGCTGTCCATTTTTTCACAGTGGTGTACGAAGGAGCAGACTCTCCCAAAACTTCATCCATGTCAGCTTTGATTTGAGATGGGGTCAACCCTTTTTTCGTCAGATATTTTATGAAAAACTTTATGACAAATCAAGTGGAAATTGGTATCGTATCTCTAGCAAACATGGCTGAATTATTCCTGCCAAAAATTAAATTGATCGCAGCGCCACACATAGGCAAGGCCGCGAACTTTCCGAACAGCCCTCGTAATCCAAATGTTTAAAGTTCTAAAACTAATACAGTAGAGCATCGATTATCCGACTACATTCTAGTCGGCAAATTCAAATGTCCGCTAGTGATGTGGCGCTACAATATTTGGCCATGTCTTGGTTAATTTAATATTATTTTTACGTGTTTTAGCTGGCAACACTGGATCGACTATGAAAGGGAGCCAGTACTTAAATGAGGATTAATTTTCTAATTTTTAACGATACAATAGCGACTATTATTATTTTTAAAAAAAATTTGATAGGCTTAACATGGAGGAAAATTCAATGCGAAGTAGGTTAATAGCGATATACTAATATACTAATTACATGGGATATAATAATATACTACACTAATAATGGATTTTTTCATACTTTTCGGTTATCCGACCAACCCCAGTCCCCAATTGAGTCGGATAATCGATGCTCTACTGTATATCAATCTATTATTATCAAAAAAGTTAAAAAGTAATGTAAATTATAGTTAATAAATTTATATGTCATTAGATATAATCATTAACACCACAAATTTTATTCTTTGCTAAAAATTAACAATTAAAAATATTTTTATGGCATGTTTAACATAACACAAAATCTTAATATCAAATCAGAAAACTAAAATTTATATACAATTAGTTACTTTCCAATGTATTTAAAAGTATTTTTATATTCTCTTCCAAAATAAGATTTGAGACAAAAAAAAAGGATTGTTGTTAAGACTTGAGAATTTTAAAGAATTAATAAACCATTATTTTATTGAGTTTCATAAACATTTTTAAAATTTACATGCTGAATGTAATGTATGGAATTCAAAGTTTAAATCACAGAATTTTCAGAATTGTTATATATAAATGAAATTAATACATAACTAAAACAATCATATTAGAGAAAGACTAATATATCGACATTAACTACAATATTTTTTCCTACATTCTTATCCATAACAGTAAAAAAAAAAAAAAAAAATTAGTCCAAATAAGATCAAAAAATAAAAAAATAGGAAAAAATTTTTTATATGTATAAAGCATGACTAAATTTTTATTCTAGTCTTTGGATCACCACTCACAGTTAAAAGTCTAAACTATCAAGAAATTCAGTCTATACAGAAAAAAATTGACATTTGATTAAAAAATGAATAATATTACTTTGAATTTATTCAAAATAGAAGAATAACTGATAAGAATAATTTATTTAGTTATCAAAACAAGAGAAAATGACAAAAGCTGAAGAGTACTTAATACAGAATTAATTTCGAAATTCTTCTTTTAAATTTAAATAAACAATTTTTTTTCTCTTAAATTAAACGAATCGAACATTTGAAATTCATTCGAATACTCCAAGATTTTTTTTTCAGAAAGTATTTTAATTTTTAATGTAAGAAAAAAATAAGCACATGTATAGAAAAAATAAGTAGTGATTGTTTACAAATAACACCTGTATCGTACAGAAGCGAAATCTGGATAAAATATAAGGAATTCTCATATATCGATATTATTTATAATCCTTTACTCAGTAAATTATCGACAATTCTAATCAAACCAAAATGGAGAGGTTAAGCCTAACCATGACTTATCATAGTTTCATAACACCGATCACAACCAAAATTTGAATAGTAATAATTTACTGACCAAACTATTCATCGCATCAAACAAATACAAAATTTCGCCTTACCTGAGACATAGACTTCTTTTTTACTAATAAAATTTCTCGAAACAAAAAGTTCCGAACAGACGACAACCTACCGCTACAACTCGAACAAACAATTGTTTGGATACCTAGAGGCCGCTACGTATTGCCGACATACAAAAAATTAATAAATCAAATTTATTAAAATTAAAGAAATTTCGTATAATTTTATAAATATTAATACTCGTCGTATTTTTTTAGTTAATAAATTTTATACTATTTCATACTAAACGGTCTAAAAATGTTATTAGAAATGTAAATTTAGTTACGAAAATAGCGCGTGTTAAGGAAATACAACATTTTGTGTGAGCGAGAAGTGGAAAAATAAAAAAATAAGAAAAAAATGTTTTAAATTCGTTAGATTCGGCTTTCTCTATGTAACGAGTAGGCACCGAAGATGTCTTTAAAAGAGAGATTTTGCGAAATTTAACGTTTTTTTTTTATTATTTCTTTCTTTTAAGTCGTTTTATCAGACTTTTTTCACAGTGATGAAAGGTAAATGTTTTATAGTTTACAGTTTATTCTGTATATAAATGTTTACAGCATAAAATGAATGTTTTTGATTTTGTCGTAGAAAGTCATCTATTCTTAAATAATGTATCTATTTTTAATTCGATTGAAACGTTATTCCTCGATTTATTTTCTTAAAACTTGTTAATAGAAAGTATAAATTCGTTGATAAAGCGTGTTAACGTTTCTCGAAATTCAAAAAATCTTGTTAATTACCATTAACCCGTTAGCTTTTGTCAATGCATGTTTTATACATCTGCGTAAGTTTTTACCGATTACATTTTGATGTTCGTTTTATTTTTTCTTTTATTTACTGTGTTTCTATAGAATTAACTCTGTGTTTTATTTGATAAATGTAGCGGCGATATTAAAATATTTAAAAAATCATATTTTACCATTCCAAATTATATTTTTTTGTTGTTTTTCTTAATTTCTGAATGTAATTATTTGACAAACTAAACTTTTAAATGTCTTCAAATTTGATAATTTTTAATGTAAAGTACATATGCAAATAATTTCTCATTATGTGTCCCATATCTTTAAAAAAAGTTAAAATTGTATGCTGCTTCTGATACAAAATGATACTATTTACTTAATTTTCCTATTATTGTTGCAATTGCATACTGACCTTTTTTGTATTTTCTTAGCATAAGGTTACCGTTGAGAACAAATCACACAGGAACACTTTTAGTAGAAAAAGATCAGTTTATTGATAGGAAAGGATATGCATTTTGGGCTTAATGCCCTTCTTATTATAGTGACAGTTAGGACAATGCAACTCGTGAGAAGACATAGGTAAAAAGAAGGGGTCGCTTATACACATTATAACATTATAACAACATGTGTTAGAATAAAAAGGGAGTAAACCGTAGAGTGCAAAATAATTTCGATGAAATGAACAAAAAACATAGACCAGATTGGAGAGGTTAAAAAGATGTGAGTATTCCCTGTATTGTTCACTTCACAGCAAGCAACCGAGAGGTGATCTTTTTTGTGTTAACCTTCTTAACGGTTCCTTGAAAATTTAAAAACAAAGCTGTCTATGGTTTAGTTAATCCAAATTTTGAGGCGAAGTAACGTTCAGCCAATTTTTCTGTATACGTTATTTGGATGAACTTTCATTTTTAATAATAATAATATGTTTTCTTTTTTAGTAAATACATTATTTACAAATCAAATTAGCATTGTAGGTTGTATTTATCTATAGAGACACAAGTTCATTCATTTGTAATAGAAAATATATTATAAGATATATATGACTGAATTTTGTTTATAATATAGGTCAAAGAATATTGAATAATAGAAATTCATAGTGATAAAGAAAAATGTAAACATAAATATTTAAATAAAACTTAACTTTTAATATACTTAACTAACTTATTATGTTAAAAGTGAAATTAATTACATATTAATCAGTAATTTAGAACTGTTGGCAATATATGAACTAGGATTTCTTATATCCCAGTCTTTTGCTTATCCCAGGATTTAATTAATTAATTATTTTAAAATATAAAATAAATCTTAAAATTGAATGATATAATTATTTTTCATTTCTATGTAACTTAATACATCCTTCAACCTCCAAAATAATAATAATAATAATAATAATGCTTATAATGCTAATAATAATAATATTTGAATTACATAGAAATTTTCACAAACAGAAAAAGTTTATTAAAGTTTGCTGGACATTGCTTACACCAAACATGCCTTTGAATTGAGTTGAAAATTTAAAGAAAAAAATGAACTTAGATCAAACTTCTAAGTTAGAAGGTAATTTTTGTTATTTAAATAAAAACATAATACAAAATATTATTGTAAATTTTTATAATAAGATCATAAAAAGCAAAGATGGTCAATACTTTGATCACCCAATTTGATTCTTATTTTACTAAAGAAAAGTCCTGCTACTGAGAATGCCCTTTTTGATTCAATTCATGCAGATGGAATTGTCTTTAATGCATTTAAGAGAAGACAGATGTTATGTGTTTTTTTGCCTGTAGTCTCGAAGATTTCTATTTTGCTTTCGAGATGCGTTACAGTACTTCTTTTGCCATCTAGTATTCTTGATTTGTCTATCTTGGCTGCTTTAATAGCAGCATCGAGCTTACAGCCCGATAATTCAGCAATTTACAATATTCAGCAATCATCAGCAATATTCAGCAATTGTATTTGGCTTTAATAATCAGGTTTATGAAAAAACTTCATACTTATTTGTATCCTTGCCCAATTTGCATAACTTGACATAATACAGTTATTGAAGCTACTGGGCAAGATTAAAAATTAAGACAGCATAAGCACAATATAATCCAGATATTACAGGTTCTGACAACTAAAGAATTTTCAGTCCTGTCACAAATAGGCTACATATTGATTATTGGCAGTCTGTGGCATACCATAATAAGTGAAAATTTAAAAAACTAATAAGCAGGCTTAAAATTAATAAATACAAATGTATTCTGACAATTTGAGTTAATTATACTTTCTATTTGCAAAATTTTCTCAACTTTAATACAAAATAAGAAAAAAGTGAATATTTAAGAAATTTGTAGTATTTCCTGGGTTAAAAAACAGTTGAGATTCCATTGGAGAAACCCTAATATGAACAGAATAATTAGATCAACGTGTTAAATTTAATAATCAATTTTTATAAAACTGAAAATTATATACTTGTAATATTTTATAATCTTTGAAATTTTATTAAATTAAATAAAACTTCTCTCAGAATCACTGGAAAGGATAATTAAGACACAAGAACCTTATTATATCCCAGTAACGAATTGGAATTTTAAGATAATTGAAACATATTATTCGATGCATTCCATATTCGAATTGTACTGGTCAAAAGCCCGAAGATGATCATGAATATGGTTGAAAACGTTAGTTTTATTTAAATTTTTATCGTTACTGGGATATAATAAGGTTCTTGTGTGTTAATTATTCTTCCCAGTGATTCTTTGTTTTGAAAATGAATCAATTTGATCCAAAAATGTTTTATTACAAAAATTTAAATTTCAGTGTAAATAGCTTCTAGTTTAGATTCCTTTATTTTTGTTGGTAAAATAAGAAATGTGAACTCAAGTTTAAAAAATCTGAGGGGGGTTATTTTTTGACTGATCGTCATACTTTTTCTCTGTTATATATAACAGACAGGAAAGTAAAAAAAAAAAATTGTACTTGCCATCAACATCATTTCCTCCTTAAAATTTATACAAGATGATGCAAAATTAGATTTAAAGATTTCTATGGCTTCCAACCATCTGAGGTGCTCTGTATGGGATGTTGTGAGGAGGAGTTTGACCTATGTGAAGTCCACCACAATTTCCAGATCTGCTGTATAGGTAGAGAGGACTATGGAAGTTCTAGCATGTTCTTGCATTTTGGTTCTCATAGAATCATTGTTTAGTGGATTCAATATACAGAAGGTCCCTATCACATCTGGTGTCTCTGATAGGGACACTGTACATGCCAGGTAGTCTGGTAGGGTCCTTTCCATTACAAGATATGTTGGAAATAGGCAGGCACCTCCTGAAAGCTATATCAACAGCATGCTTCTTAGCAATTTTTGCATATAATGAACTTAAATAGGGGTTAAAGGTAATGGAGACCTGTTCCACCAGGAGGTGCTTGTCTATTTTCAAATATTATCTCTGTTTCTCCCTCAGTGTTACTTTTATAAAAGATATGTGGACAACATTTTGATTATATGGAAGAATAAGCCCAACATGACTGAGTTTGTTATTTTGGATATAAACCATAATGACAACCATTATGGTTTATATCCAAAATTGGACCAGTGCAGCAACACACACGCCCACTTTATAGATATATTTTTGTTGCTCAAATTACTAAGGCTTCTCTGTCTATCTGTGCATAGTTGCACTTTGTTGCTGATAGCATATGTGAATAGTTTGTAATGGGTACCTCACTTCCATTTGGCATATGGTGGTTGAGGACAGCACTGATACTGTAAGATGATGCATCACACTTTAGCACCAATGGTTTTTGCAAGTCAAAGTGGTAAGTACAGCATCTGATGTTGACAATGATTTCACAGCCTTAAATGCCTTTTTGTGTTTGAGCTCCCACTTCCACAATGTATTTACATCCAGATGATGATGCAAAGGCTTTGCAATGTGGCTTTGGTTTTTAGAAAAACACAGTAAAAATTTACTAGACCCAAAAGACCTTAGAGCTTCCTTTTTGTTGGATGGTGCAGGTGTGCCAAACTGCTTTGAGGAATGAATTCTGTTTGCATCTATTTTAAATCCTAAGAATGTTACACTTGGAACTCCTATGACACATTTCTGTATTTTAATGTGCAAGCCCAATGACTGGAATCTCTTAAGGACCTGTCTAACCCTTTCTAACAAATCTTCCTTGGATTTAGCTGCAATGAGAATATCACCGAAGTATGGTATTACACCTTCTATTTCTCCTATAAATTGTTTGATAAATGCCTGGAAAATCCCCGTGTTGCATTGATGCCAAATTGGAATCTCTTAAATGCCTCTTTATATGTAATAATCATTTGAGCTCTGGCTGTATAATCATCTACTGTGAGTTGCTGATACACCTGAGCTAGATAAAGCTTGGTGAAAACTTCTCATATCCCAGATCTGCCAACAAGTGATTGATTGCTGGAATGGATAGGCAGTGGACCACAGTGCATTATTAAATGTAATTTTATAATTACTACAGATACATACCAATTTATTTGATTTCAAAATTGGCACAATGGGTATAGTCCACTCAGGATCTGTTATGAGCTCTAAATTTCCCTGCTTGATCCATTTTTCAAGTTCGTCATCAACCTTTTGATGAATCCCCAAGGGTACATGCCTTTAATCTGATGGATGTTACATTCAAGTCTAGCTAATTTAATTGAAATTGGTTGGTGCTTATATGTTTCTAACTCCTCTTTGAATATACTTGGAAACTCTTCCATCAACTCCTGGATCCAATCTTTAGAAATGTGATATACACCTGAGATATATATTCCTCACTCTGAACCAGTTTCTTCCCAGCAAACTTACTGTTTCTCCTTGCCATAATTCTCCTTGATGTGGGTTCCTGTCCATGGTGAGGGGACCTCCCAGAGATGGTTTAGTAAGTCTTTTAGTAAGCCCACCCACGTGTTTGCCATGCATGGTGCCCCGTATGCTGGAAAAGGGAATCCTGGTAGTTGAGGGGCAACATAACGTCCCTAACACACTGCTTTGGCCCCTGCTTTGGATAAACGGGAGGCTCAAATCAGGCTCTGTTTGAGTCATTTGGCTGGTCGCTGAGTCATTCTTGACCTCGGCCTGGAGTCAACTGATCGATGCAGACTGGGCAGACACGTCAGACAAGCTGTGCTCTTTTCGACTGCATTGTGGTGTTATAGCTCCTGGGAAACCCTGGTGTGACAGTCTATGGGAGTCTCCCATGTGACAGCATCCTCTTGTTGGGCCCCATAGTAGGTGGGGTCACTGGGAGCTGAAAAATTTAACTTTAATCATGGATCCAAAAAATTCAAAACATCCTGACAAAGCAACAATATCTAAGACAAAAGAAAAGACCTCCAGTCAACCTGTTTACTTAATTGTGCATGCAACTGGAGAAAAACCCCTCGCTAAGTGTTTTCCTTTTTTGATTCAAAAGCTATTTGAATCAACCATCAGGCACCTAAAAAAGATACAAAAATTGAGGTCGGGACCTTTTAGTGGAAACATCCTCTCCTCAAGAAACAACAAAGCTTTCAACAATGAAGACTCTTGGAGACATGGGAATATTAGTCACACCACACAGAAGTTTGAACTCATCAGGTGGTGTGATATCTGAGTTCGAGTTGATGTCTGAAGACGAATCAGACATTCAGATCGGCCTGTTGGACCAAGGTGTCGCTTCTGTCCAACGCATTTCGATCTGTCAAGATGGCATGTTGATACCCACAAAACATCTAATTCTCACATTTGACAAACCAACATTGCCATCCTTTGTTACAGCAGGATACCTGCGCCTCCCAATTCGTCCATATATTCCAAATCCACTGCGTTGCTTCAAATGCCAGTGATTTGGACATTCCCGGGTCTCCTGCCAAGGCAAAAGCTTATGTGCACAGTGTGGAACTGAAGGTCACGACAGTACTGAATGTAAAAGTTCTCCACACTGTGTGAACTGTAAAGATGCCCATCCTGCCTACTCCTGGAAATGCCCTGCATGGCAAAGAGAAAAAGAGATTCAACGGGTGAAAACTGAAAAACGTATCATATCCAGAAGCCTGTCGCATGGTCACTCCAAGTGCACCATTGCAGCAAAAGACATTTGCTGTTATTTTGAAATCTACTAAGACATGTGGGGTTCAAACAGATATTTCTGTGTCCCCAAGTGAATCTCTTACCTGCCATACAAAATGTTTATTGATCCCATTTGCACAATCAGAAGAAAAGGAGAACACAAAGACCAAAACCTCTGTAACTAAAATAGGGATAACAACCAGAAATGTGAGTTCTAAAAAAGCCAGTAAGAACCCACTTAACAGAGTGAAAGCAGCCCTCTCTAAAGTCTCAAAAAAATCAGAAACTCAATCTATAAGTGAGTTTTCTGCAGGGCTGTGGAGTCGCGTAAAAATCTACCGACTCCGACTTTTCCTTATCATTTGACTCCGACTCCGTTTCATATACATAACAAGTTGGTAAGTAAAAGGGAGTCGGAGTCGGCGGATTTTTTGACGATTCCGGCTAAAACACCACGACTCCGACTCCACAGCCCTGGCTTTCTGACATATCTGATGAAGAGCCTAATATGGAGGTGACAAAACCAACGTCATCTCCAAAAGAAAAACCCCCTGTTAAATTAAAGAGGGATACCCCTCGCAAAGAATGCTGCCTCAAACACATAATGGGTTATAAAATAATCCAATGGAACTATCGTTGTTTCTGCAACAACTTCTCTGACATTAAACACTTGACATCATCCACCTCATCTCTCTGTGTGGCACTCCAGGAGACTCACCTGAAACCTGGAGAGAAAATTACTTTAAAAGGATTAGGAGTTTACCGCAAGGATGATGATAGCCACAACTGTGCCAGTGGCGGTGTGGCTATTCTGGTTTCCAATCACATCCCATCCTTGCCAGTACAAATAAGCACTAATTTGCAAGCTGTGGCAGTCAGAATATCTATTGGAGTAACTGTCACAGTTTGTTCTATATACTTGCCACCAGATGTCAGAGTCAATGAGGATGAATTGGATTCATTAGTTGAATAGCTGCCAACTCCATTCCTTTTACTGGATGATTTCAATGGCCACAATCCAATGTGGGGCAGTCCTGACATCAATCATTGAGGCAGAGCCATTGAACGACTCATAGGCAATCGGCAAATGTATTTATTTAATACTGGAGAGGTGACATACTTCCATGCCCCAACAAGAACTTTCATTGCCATTGATTTATCATTAGTGAGTCCAAACCTGTTTTCAGCATTTTCATGGGAGGTTGGATCTAATCCACTCTCTAGTGACCACTTCCCAATATTTCTAAAATATCAAGGCAGAGAAAGCTGTGAAACAGCCGTCCACCACGCTGGAAACTTGAAACGGCAGATTGGCCTGCATTCTCCTCTTTGGCTGACATCACTGAGGAAATGGTCAGTACTGCTGATATCAATGATGCAGTTGAAGTTGTCACTTTTAGTATTATTCAGGCAGCTGAAAAAACAATGGGGAAAACATCAACCAGATATCCAAAGCATCCGAAACCATGGTGGGATAAGAATTGCAAGGCAAGCATTTAAAAAACAAAAGAAAGCATAGGGGATTTTCAGAAGAAACCTCACTGCTAGTAATATGATTGCTTTTCAAAAAGCAAAGGCAAATGCCAGAAGAATTAGAAGGCAAAGCCAAAGGGATTCTTGGAGGAAGTATGTTTCTAGCATAACATCTTCCACTAACTCAAAAGCAGTCTGGGATAAAATCCATAAAATTAATGAGAAATATGCTTCTCACTCTCTGTCCATGCTTGAAAATAATAGCACAATAATCAGTGATATACAGAGTATTTTTGATCTTTTGGGTGAGACATTTTCCTCCTCATCCAGCAATATCATGTATCCAAGGAATTTTCAAGTTTATAAAGCCTAAAGTGAAAAAAAACATTTAAACTTTCACACCTCATCTAATTAGGAATATAATGTGCCATTCACCAGAATTGAATTACATACAGTGATCTCTCGCTCAGGGAATACTGCTGTAGGCCTGGATAAAATCCACTACAGCATGATTAAAAATCTGTCAGACAATTCTCTTATAAATCTTCTGAATCTGTTTACCAGAATATGGACAGAACATACTTTTCCTGACTCTTGGAGACTATCTATCATTATTCCCATTTCCAAGCCAGGTAACGACCACAAGAATCCCTCTAATTACAGGCCAATCTCTCTGACAAGTTGCCTGTGTAAACTCTTTGAAAGAATGGTAAACAGATGCCCGATGTTCCTCCTAGAGGAAAAGAATTACTTTTCATCACATCAAAGTGGATTTCATAGGAACAGAAGTACCACGGACAATTTAGCAAACCTTGAAACATCTATGCGCAAAGCGTTTGTTCGATGACAGCACTTAGTGTCTATATTTTTTGATATAGAAAAGGCCTATGATTGCTGCTGGCAATACGGAATATTTTATGACCTGCACCAATTTGGATTGCAGGGTAATTTACCAGTTTTTATAAAAAACTTCCTGCAGAATCGAAGATTTCAAGTTAGGATGGGCAACTGTTTATCTAGGTTTTTTGCCCAAGAAGAAGGTGTTCCTCTGCTCCTAATTAAAATTATTAATAGCATAACTGACTGTCTTCCTCCTAGTGTGAAACATTCTCTGTATGTGGATGACTTTTAGACCCCCTCCAGTCTAGTAACATGAATTTCATTGAGAGACAACTGCAAACCTTTCTAAATCGTATAGACCAGTGTTTCTCAACCTCTAACGAATCGTCACCCCCCTTCAATAAAACCATTACGTAGTATCGCCACCTTCACTTCAAAATTCCGATGCTGAGGGCCAAGGCTAATGCCAAATTCATACTGCATTGAATAGACTATTGACTAGTATATTGTTATTTGTTTAATTATTGTACGATATAACAAATAAAATATCTAATTATTCTTAATATAATGTTTTACTATATTGCGCAGAAAATTGTTTTTCGCCCCCCAAAATATAAATTGTTACAAATCGCCCCCTCAACGTGGAAAAACACCCACATGGGGACAATATCGCCCCTGTTGAGAAACACTGGTATAGACAATTGGTCCAAGACCAATGGTTTCACTTTTAACATGGAGAAGACCTTGTGCATCCACTTTTGCCAAAGGCGTGGTTTGCACCTGGGCCCTGAAATTCACTTAAAAGGGGGTTAAAATCCCAATGGTCAAGCAGGCAAAGTTTTTGGGAGTTTTATTTGACCATAAACTGACGTTTTTACCACACTTGTGCAATTTGAAGAGTAGATATCTAAAATCCCTGAACCTTTTAAAAGTATTATGCTGGTCATCCTGGGGAGCAGACAAATGTTCTATGCTCAGAATTTATAGGGCCCTTGTTCGCTCAAAACTGGATTACGGATGCATTGTTTATGGCTCTGTGCGAGAATCTACTCCTCGGATGCTGGATTCAATCCACCATCAAGCACTGCGTCTGTGCACTGGTGCATTTCGAACTTCTCCGGTTCAAAGTTTGTATGTGGATGCTTATGAGCCTCCACTATCACTCAGGAGAGAACAGTTGTCTCTTTTTTACTATATTAAACAGAAATCTCTGAATAGACTTTCAGCTAATAGTTCAGATACTCAGCTGAAAAGGTTATTTGCAGCTCGGACGAGTTGTGTCCCTACATTTGACATAAGAATGGTGAATGTAAGCAGCACGATTGACCTTGACACAAGCAACATCTCACAGGTTGAGGTTAATAGTATTTCACCATGGTCAACCTCAGCGATAAATGTTGAATTAAGCTTAAAGCAGTTCCCTAAAGAAACCATGCCAGATTACATCTATAGATAGCACTTTGCAGAAATTCAACACTGACAGGAATTTAATTTCTGTTTACATCAATGGATCGAAATCGGAAGACTACGTTGGCTCAGCTTTCGTCTGCCAAGATGAAATCATGACAGAACAAATAGCATTAAATTCTTCCATATTTACTGCAGAGTTGCAGGCTATTTATTTAGCCTTAAACTATGTAATCAGTAAAGGTCATCGTTGCTGCGTGGTTTACATTGACTCAGTTAGCACATTTCAGGCTTTGATCTCATGTGAACCTAGTTCTCACTCTGTAGTATTAAAATTCATAATCTGATTTGCCATTTTTTTACAAGGAATCTCTATATAAAATTTTGTTGGGTCCCAGGCCACGTTGGTATAAGAGAGAATGAAGAAGCTGATGCAGCTGCAAAGTTCTTCACTGTATGGAATGCCTATCGAAGGAAGTGATTTGAAGCTAGTAGTTAAAAAAGCGACTAGCAGAGAGATGGCAAAACGTGTGGAATGCACAAATCCACAATAAACTACATGAGATCAAAGTATTGGACGTGTTATAAACAGTATGACAGGAGATCTGAAGTTATTCTTACTTGCTTGAGAATTGGGCATACTCTGTTGACTCATCAATACTTTTTGAAGGGTGTAGATCAGCCATTATGCCAATATTGTTAGTGCACTGTAATTAAACACATATTATGCAACTGCATTACCTCTGATAGGATTCATAGACAGCATTTTGGAAATGCAAGTTTTAAAGAGATTCTGGGCCATAGGCCAAATGTCAATAAGTTACTGGACTTTCTGAAAGTCACTAATATTTATAAACAAATTTGATTATTTATTTATTTATATATATATACTTTTATATACCTTGTTGTTCTTGTTTATTGTTACTGTTATATATGCTTGTTATATTGAAAAATTAATAATAAATAACAATATGACCTTATTAATTTTACCATTTGGCATGGTGCAGCACAGCCTGTACAGCTTTTGTGCCAGAAAACCCTAACAAACAAACAAACC